TTAGAAATAATTGGACCACCAGGCACACTGAAAGCCTTCTATAAGTGACAGTTTAGTTGTTGACAGGACTGGATTTGTGTTTCTTGTAACTTCAAACATTACTAGTTATTTAGAGTTTTATATTAAGTTTGTAGTAAAGGTACTTTTTAAAAAATTTGTTAACCTGTGACTTTGAAAAGAGCAAAATGGTACTTTTATCAGCTCAGGATAGAAATATCTTTGATATTTGATCCTCTGGACTGGGCTTTGCTGTGGTGTGTCATAGCTACTGCTAATTTAACCTCTAGCTTACTGTTTAAATTCTCTTTTTAATTATTTATTACCTTTTTTGGAAGGAATTTGCATTCCATATAGACAAGAAGACCCTGTACATTTTGCTGGCTGGAACTTTATATGAAACACATTTTGTTTGAAAGGATGGGTGGTTAGTTTTGCCTTGGATAGGTAACTATCTTGTAATTATTTCTCAGATTAAGTTACTGTGATCATGGTTGTGCTTTGACTGGAGGCTTGCTACCTGTGATATACAAGGCTGATTTGAAGGCAAGGATGGAATTTGAATTAACCAGAATCCAGGAGGAACTTAATTAGAATGAGAAAGACAATTGAGTCAAATAGTTTAACTAGCTATTGGACCTGAATTTCTGTAAATAGAGTGAATTTGATGTGAAGAGCAATGAGGAAGTAAATTGCAGGAAATTAATGGGCAGCTGTTAGTAAGGGTGTGTGCCATGATAATATGAGGAGACATAGGTTAAATTCAGCAAGGCTTCTGACTACCTCATAACATTCACCTTGTTAACTATGAATGTTTGTTGATCTGAAGAAGGGAAAGAAGTTTGTATTAACTATATAACCATGACTTTAGATTGGTCACAGAGTAATTTTGAGAGCAAGGAATTCACATAGTTTGGAAATGGTTAAATTTGGCGATAAGAGAATCTACAGATAGATCAAGGTTTAGTGTTTAGAAAATTAAAATTATGTGTATAGTACATTTCAATGTAAGATTTTTATTTTGTTTTTGTTTATTAGCTTGAAGTGGCAGCAGAAAATATTAATGAGAGCATTTTGAGAAGTTTATTGTAAAGCAGATTTTCTGTGTAATTGAGAGAAATAACACTTAAAAGGTACAGTTGAATATAAATTCACTGTACACAAGAAAATGAGATAATAAAATAGGGAGAGAATGAATTTATGAAAGGGGAGATGTGAGATATATCTAGGGGGAATAAAGCCAAGAAAAGAGGACTAGATTTGTGTTGGTGGAAAAGTAGAGGTAAAAATGGGAGGAAAAATGAAAACAGAACCAAAAAGTTTGGGGAAAATTAATGTATTTGCCTCCTCTGGTTGAAAATCTGAAATTGAGTGGAGATATCAAATAATGAGCTGGAGATACTCATTGAGGAATTTTGACATTTTGAACATAAATACATTTTTCTCATTAAAAAAAACAACAAAAAACTTCTTGTGCTCCTGTAAAGTTCCATAATACAGTGCACGAAAAGGAACTTTGAAATTGAAAGTACAGAAGGATGGAGGAAAGATGAGTTTATTAGAGCCTGTGATTAGATAGTCATTTTTAGATTAAAATAAACCCCAAACTATAGTCAGAAATTAAAAAGTACATGTAGATGCCCATCTTTATTTGTCCTTTGGCAGATACTGCCAAGTGTTTTTAAAGTCACTGGAATGACACAGTTTAAAAGTGTTAATTCTTTTTTACTCAGTGGCACTTGTAAATTATCAGGAGTGTGTTGTTTTGCATTAAAGAGGATTAGTGAGTGATACATAGATAGGTCTGTGTGGACAAGTAAACTTATTAAGAAATCAGCTAGCTTTCATGGGGCAACTGGGTGGCTCAATTAGTTAAGCGATTCTTTGTCTCTTTGTGTGGACTCCTGCTTTTGGCTCAGGTCATGATCTCATGGTTCATAAGTTTGAGCCCTATGTTGGGCTCTGTGCTGACAGCATGGAGCCTGCTTTGGATTTTCTCCGCACCCCCCCCCCCCCCGCCCCTCTGTGTATGTGAAAGTTTGAAACTGTGAAGTGCTATGAAAACATAAAATAGTGATGATACTATTGCAGGATTTTTTTTTGCCTCAATAGCCGAGTTCATTGTCTCACTGCTTTGATGAATGAAGAGGTGGACACAAAATGAGAAGCAGGCAAAATTTTATTAGATTGTAAGATCAGAAGGAAAGCTCTCTAAGGTTCTAGTTGCCTCCCCGTGTCCCCCCCCCCCCCCTTCCCCTTTATTCCTTCTCAGGTTTTACCTTTATTGGCTGGATAACTCTAGGTGCTAGGTTGTCTATTCCTGATTGGCTCGATTGCATTGTATGAGGGGTGGTCTATGGCCATACCGTTCCTTGTTGGTCATAGGTTTTATGGTCCACTTATTTTTAGTCAGGTCTTTTGTCAAATTTCTGAGGAAAACCTGAGGGGGAGTAGGTGGTGTCTGTTATATTCTTAAGAAGGACCTTACGCCTGAGGGGGTTTGCTGTAGTCCGACATTCTCAGCATTGTTCCAAAAAATGTGTTTTTCCCCACCCAGGGATGTCAGGTCCTCATCTTTCCCTCGCTGCCTATTTTATCCTGTCTTTTCCCTATCATAATATTGCCACTAGGCACTGGTGGGAAGAAGGAGAGCTGGAGGGACTGGAGGCAGATTGTTAAGTGGACAGATTGTAGAGGGAGCATGCAGTGGTACAGCTATGGGGTCAGCCCTGCTGGTCAGTGGAATGAGATCGACTTGTGGGATACAAGGCCAAGGTGTTGTTGGCATAGATGTTGAGACAGGAGTGGGGATGATGGTGTAGTATGGGGAAGAACTGTGGGCCTGAATAGGAACTTGGAAATGCCTTTAAATGCCTTTGGATCCTTACGAGACCATAGGGGCAGTTATTTGGAGTTTAGTGAAACTAAACAATTCTGAGGGCTAAAAGGCACTGGGTATCAAGAAAGCTTCTTGCTCCTTGCTCTACCCTTTGCCCAACATGTAGTCCCAGTGGCATTGAAGCCCACTGATGAGTTGTCCCTGTAAAGTTGATTTTTCCCTTCTAATTATTTAGGCCATACAGAAATATAAAATTTAATGGGATTGTGCTTTATTGTAACAGGATTCTGTAAGAACAATCTCTTTGAGGTACATCAAAAAAGCTGCCTACACAGAACCATTATACTGTTTACTAAGGTTACCAAATACCCACCCCAGTGTGTCCCAAAGCAAGAGGTTTCCCAGGGAGCAGAACTAAACACTGGATGGTCCTGGAAAGTCAGTATGAGTTACCTTCTTATCTACTCTCTCCCATTTTATAAATTCATTGAAATGACCAATAATATCTTTTTATGAATGATCCTTATGTAGAAGTAACATTCTTGTATTATTTAAAATTAAATCTTCTATTTTGTAGCTTACGCTTTTATGAAATACTTATTTCTGCTTTAGAGTTGCTAAATCTTGGATATTTTAGGGACAGGGAAGCTGTTTTTTTCATCTATATCTTTGCCACTTCCAGTGAATTTTAGATTTTGTGCGGTTGATATAATAGCTTTGCCTGAATACAGGCTTTCTAACCTTCCAAGTTCCACATTCATTAGATGAAACATCTCTGGCATCTGATTATGTACCATCCTATCTTGTTACTGAAGTGTTTACTATGTGTTAATATTGTCTTCAAAACTAGGCTAAGTATTCACTGGAACTTTGTCTTCTACAGTTTTTGTGTTCTTGCCATGCCCACTTTGCAGACTAGGTAGTACGTAAGCGCGTTTATTAATTGATTCAGGTAGATAGATATGTGACAGTTTTCTGGCTTTTCCAAGCCTTGATGCTGTGTGTAGCATGCAAAATGGATCAGATTTGTTGTTCTTTTTTCTTAAAAGTTGCTTTCTAAGTCAGTTGCTTCTGACTTAAGGATGACATCTTGAAGTAAGCAGGCAATTGAGATATATCTTCTAAGTGAGGATTTGATAGACCAATAACCTTGGAGGACTGGAAGCATAGTTCGTTATCTACATTCTGGACTCTTCTTTGCAGTCGAATAATAATGAACTCTTCTACAATTCCGTGGCATTTTTAAAGGTTGAGCTGGACATAATCAGCTTCCATATAATTGGCCATATCCTCTGGGTATAAGTTGTAACCTAAATTCATTTGGATGAATAACCAGTTTGCTCAAAAATTTGTTAACAAACTCAAAGTTTTGTTTTTGCCTTTTGCCACAACTGGCCACACCGATGTTAAGTGGTAGAATTGGAAATGAAATCAAAATAGTATGACTGTGGAATTGGCTCTTAAGCTTTGTACTGCATTGTCTCCCACAATTTGTTCTTCTTATCCTTATCCTGGTTATGGCACCCTCATCCACCCAGATAGTGAAATGGGAAGTTTTGGTAGTTCAGAATCCTTTGTAACCCTCAGCTATCCCATAACCATCTGGTTAAAGATCTTATATATAGCCTGCGTCCCCCCCCCTCCTCCCACCCCACCCACCGCCACTCCCAGTGCTCTGATTCAGATAAACTCAATATTTTAGATCTAACCCTGCTGCTGCCAGAGTTATCCCCCTCAAATGTGATTCTTGTTATTGAAACCCTTTGGTGTCTTATCAGTTACCTTTATGATAAACTTTAAACTACTACGCTTGGTATATTTTGAATACCATGTAAACTATTCCATAGGATCCTGTGCAGTTTAGATTACTGTTTGCCTGTTAACCTTATCACTTGACACTATCCCTACCTTCCATTCTCCAGCCATTCTAATAGTTCTCTGAATGCACCATAATTTCTGTAATTTTCTCTTGGAGAATTATACTTCAAGAAACAGTTCATTCAAAGGAAGACACAGTTCATTCAAAGATACCTTCTCTGTGAACTGTCTCCTGATTCTAATAGTTTGGATTATCCACTTTTTCTTGTGTGCCCCAGATGTTCTACTTTACATTTTGCATCTATTTTAGTAACTGTAACACTGAAAGGTATTTATTTGTTTACAGGTTTGTCTCCTCACTAGACTATGAGCTCCTTGAAAGAAGGAATCCTGTCTTACTCATCTTTATATCCCCAGTGTCTAGCACAGCTCCTGGTACATAGTAAGTGATTAGCAACTTCTTTTTTGAGTAAGACTATATTTTAACACTGTTAACTCCACATATTGACAGTTACTTAAACTGATCTAGACCTATATTGTCATAACAAAATATGATTGTAGACTTTTAACACTTTTGAGGCACAATTTCCTCATCCGTAAGATGAGACTAGTACCCCCCCCACACTCATACAACGTTATTGTAATAACCGGATTAAAGAATATATATAGCAGTGCATTGTATTTTAAGTGTCATACAACTTTATGTTGTTAAGTATGGGAACTAATCGTATGTTGAAATTGATCATTTTATTTGCTGTGTTCCTTTTAAGGCAAAATGGTACCATTTTTGAACCATTTCTGTCATGTTTTGCAGTTACTGATTACCAGAAGCATGTACTCAAAATAACAAACCCTATGCCTGTTTATCTTTTTTGCTCTGCAGTTACCTTTCTATCTAATTGACTAATAAAGTCCCTCAATTTTCTTTTAATCTGCTTCCAAATGAATTAACATCTTCACCTTTCCTTAGATCCCTCATCCATTGTTCAGAGGAAGAAGTGTCTTTTTCTTGGAAGACTAATCACATCATCTGTGACAGCTATGCCTTTCCCTTTTTTTTCCCTCGCAGGCTATAGACATCATACTTGATGGATTAGTGATCCACACTTTACCTGCTTTCTTGCCTTCCATGCATTCTTTAAATTTTTAGAAGTTCTGTAATTTTAACATGCCAGATTATATGTAATATATGGAAGTTAATAATAAAAACAAACATTTGGGAACCAACCACTTAAGAAGTAGGTCAGTACCTACACAGTTAAAGAGCTACCTGTGAGCACATCGGTAACTGCATGGTCCTGTCTTTCTCCGATCCCTGAAGTAACTGCTGTTCTGAATTTTGTTTTATTCCAATTTTTTTTATCTCTTCTTTTCCTTAGTTGCATTACCACAAATGTATTTTTTTTTTGTTTTGAGTATAATAAATGTTCTTTTCATAGCCTTTGTAAACCTTGCACAAAAGGCATTTTAGTATAGAGGAAAACCTAATTTACAAATCTTTATACGTTCCAGAGAAAATATTCAAGTATCATAAAAGAATACATAGAAAAATTTCAGTGTGCACATTCATATTTATAATTAAATAATCATGGAGACTTACTTTTGGGCTGTGCTTATTGCCTCACCATATACAAAATGAAGTGCCTTATCCAGAGGACAGAAATATAGCAGAAGTATTCTCACATATTAGTTTCTTTAGTTTGTGCAGAAATGTTTCCATTAGATTCATAGTGTACTCCTTGGAAGAGTGACAGTTTGTCATTTGATTGCCTTTGGACCTTAGCAGTTCTTTAATGGGCTTCATTCAGTTTGTTGATTGTATAAGCATTTGAGACTCAGAATCCACAATGCCACCATGTTTTTGGATTTCTTTTTCAATCATGGAAGTGTGGCATTTTCAAAGGAATTGCATAGCAAAAGATGAAGTCATGATAGCTGCCAAAAGAATTCATTTCTTTTTTCTTTGTGTTTAAGAGTTGAAAGTATTTCTTGATGACCTCAGTTTAGAATGTTAAATCTTAGACGTGGGACTGAGTAAGAGGAAGATGACCTCAGTGGAGAGTGTTAAATCTTAAAGGTGGGACTGAGTGAGGCTCAGAACTCCATTTGTATTTTTTTTTTCATTCACTATTACGTTTCTAAGACCCATTCAATGTTGTTGCCTGCAACTGTAGTGCATTCATTCTCATTGCTGTATAATGTTCCATTATTTGAGTTAGCCTAATTAACCATTTTTCTACCAGTGGACATTTGAGTATCAGGTTTTTTTGTTGTTATTTTGAAGTATGTTTACACTTGGCACACAGGTAAAAAATTTTCGTATTATATATCTAGAATTGTTCATTGAAGGATATGCAAATGTTCAACTTTATATGATAATGCCAAATTGTTTTCCAGTGATTGTACCAATTTTAACACCTACCAGCAGGATTTTACCAATTTAAACTCCTAGTCACAGTGGGGTACTTGAGTGGTTCAGTTGGTTAAGCCTTTACTTCTGCTCAGGTCATGATCGCATGGCTCGTAAGTTCGAGCCCCACATCAGGCTCTGTGCTGGAGCCTGCTTTGGATTCTGTGTCTCCTTCTCTCTCTACCCCTGTCATGCTCACGCTCTTTCTCTCTCTCAAAAATAAACAAACATTTGAAAAAAAAATGAAACACCTAGCAGCAGTGTATAAGAGCCACCATTGCTTTACTTTTTTTTTTTTTTTTTTTGCCATTATTTGGTACTGTCAACATTTCTAGTTTTTATCATTCTAGTGAGTTTAAAAATAACATTTCGTGTGGTCTTGAGTTTCTCTGATGAATAATAAGATTCTGCATCTTTTCATGTACAAATTGACCTTACAAGTTTCCTTATTCTATAAAATTCCTGTTCAGGCTTTTTGCCCATTTGACTACTTGTGTTGTTTTATTTTTTATAGAAGTTCTCATATAGTTTAAATACTAATCTTTAATCAGCTTTATGTTTTATAAATATCTTACAATTTATAGATTGTCTTTTAGTTTGTTTATAATATTTTATGATAAACAGAAGTTCTTGGTTTCTACATAGTAAAAATATTTACACTTTGCTTTTTTGGTTAGTAAGTTTAAGAAATCCTTCTGTTCTGGGAGGGCACAGAACAGTTTTCTGCTCTAATTTCTTCTAAAAATTTTAAAGTTTTCCTTTCGTATGTACATCACTAGTCCATCTTGAATTGATTTTGTATATGATGTAAAGTGAGGAACCAATTTAATTTTTCCATATAGGTAATTTCAGTATTATTTAGTAGTCCCTCTTTTCCACAGATCTGCATTGTTATGTCTGTTACATGAGGATGTCCTTACATACCTTGGTCTATTTTGGGGCTCCCATTTCATTTCATTTCATTTCATTTATTTTATCTTGTTTATCTTGTTTTATTTACCTTCTATCAGTCTTGGCAGGCGTTTGTTTGTTTTAGTGTTCTTTTATTAAAATAATTTTTTTAATGTTTATTTATTTTTGAGAGAGACAAAGAGAGACAGAGCACAAACAGGGGAGGGGCAGAGAAAGAGGGAGACACAAAATCTGAGGCAGGCTCCAGGCTCTGAGCTGTCAGCACAGAGCCAGACACAAGGCTCGAAATCACGAACTGCAAGATTATGACCTGAGGCGGGGTCAGACACTCAACTGACTGAGCCACCCAGGTGCCCCTGTTTTAGTGTTTTCTAAGAACTCTGACTCTGTTGATTCTTTCTGTCACCTTTTTTCTATTTCATCAGTTTCTGTTCTTTATTATTCCATACTTTTTTGGGGTTTTTTGCTGTTAATTTCTTTCTAACTTAACAGATTGACCTATTATTAATTTTCAACCATTTTTCTTTCCCTAGTATAAGTTTTTAAGGCTATAGATTTGCCTCTAAGTTGACTTTTCTTGTATCCCACAAATTTTTTTTTTTTAATTTTTTTTTTCAACATTTATTTATTTTTGGGACAGAGAGAGACAGAGCATGAACGGGGGAGGGGCAGAGAGGGAGACACAGAATCGGAAACAGGCTCCAGGCTCTGAGCCATCAGCCCAGAGCCTGACGTGGGGCTCGAACTCCCGGACCGCGAGATCGTGACCTGGCTGAAGTTGGACGCTTAACCAACTGCGCCACCCAGGCACCCCTCCACAAATTTTTATATAGTATGTTTGTTATCTTCCAGTTCTTGTTTTTTTTTAAATTTTTCAGCATGACTTCTTCTAACCTATGAAATATTTAGAAGTTTTTTCTCTATTTGTGTTTTTTAAAATTTTTCTTCCATTATTGATTTTTTAACTTAATTGTATATGAGCAAAGCCTGGGAACAATATGATTGATATATATTCTTTGAAATTCAGTGAGATTTTCATTATCTTCCAGTATATGTATTAGTTTTCTGTATGCCTCATATATGCTTGAGAAATGTTTCTTCTTTCTTTCTTTCTTTCTTTCTTTCTTTCTTTCTTTTTCAAGAGTGAGCGCGGAGGGGGAGAGAGGGAGAGAGAACCTTAAGCAGGCTCTGCGCCCAATATGAAACCTGGGCGGGGCTTGATCTTGCTACCTTGAGATCATGACCTGAGCCAAAATCGAGTTGGACGCCTAACTGAGCCACCCAGGTGCCCCAAGAATGTTTATTTTCTAATTGTTTGGTATATGATTCTGTTTAAGTTCTGCTCATTCATTTTGTTTTTATTTTTATTTTTGACCTATGAAAAATTGGAGTGTGTTGAAATCACCCATGACAATGCCAATATGTCAGTTTCATATTGTAGTTCTAAAAATCCTTTGAGGCTTTTTTTTCCCTTGCCAAGAGATGGTGAATTTTATTTTGTCTTGTCTGGATAAATATTTGATTTGCTTAGGAATGTTTCAGGGCAGTAAGAGTAGGAAAAAGCACAGGAAGTAGAGGTCTATTCTGAATAATCCTTTCCCCTCATTTTAATCTTATTCATCAGAGAGAGCGGCATATTTTCAGTACTGCACTTATAGGCTGGATTCTTCAGGTCTTTGGCTCAGGTGCAGAGTTGGAATTTTGATCCTTTTAGCATGTTTCCTTTCAGACTCCTTCCATTTGTCTTTGTTCCCTTCCTATCTTGGGCCATGCTGGAGTTCCCACTTCTACCTTTTTGGACACTCACCCCATCTAGTTTATTTTCATCTTCCCAGGTTCATCCTTCCTGAGATGATAGAGCTGGAGCTACTTTCCCCCCATGCCTTGTAGGAGATTGCTGCTCTGTTTGAGCTCTGAAATCAGCACAAGGATTAGCACTTCACCAAGCTTCCTCTTTTAATGGAGGGGACAGCATTACCTTCAGCAGCTAATCAGGTTTGGGTGGATTAGAAGTTGGAGAGTGGCAGTCTTCTGCCTTACTATTTTATTTTCCAGACATCTCACTTTCTCTCCTTCATGCATCCTGCTCTGACTTCTGACAGATGCAGCTGAAGTCCCAG